AAGTTTTACATAAACTTAGTTGATAAAGATAAAAGCTTACAACTCACAATACCAAAACAGAAAATCCAACTACAAATTAACGTTATCTTCAACTGCAAATTTTTGGTTTCGAACTTTTTCTTCGATCTAACTAAGTTACAAATTATCAACGAATTATTGTCTTTTGCTTGCTCAACCCAACAGATAAACCCAGACTGTGGTCCCTAAAAATTTAATATCAAACACATGACGTATATTGTGTAAAATTAATATTAATTCAAAGTAAAAATAATGAAATAGTAACCCATGTACCTCTTTAGAAAAAGCATAAAATAGCCGTCCAAGGTTATTGCTAGTCCTTGATGTCCATATAATACCTTGAGCACCACAATTGCAATATGTCATTTGTTTGGTTTACGAGAAATTAATTTTTAGTAGTAAATTTTAAAAGGTATTGAGTTTGAACGCTTGAATTCAATTATATAATGAGATTTTTAGAGGGCACTATGGTCTCATAGGTTGCACTATTTCGGACGTAATATTTCGGATCTCATTCCGGACATTGCATTTCTCCCTTAAATGCAGCTAATTATGTTTATAATCGATTTTTGGAGTGATCAATGAAAGACATTATTATTGTCCTAATATTTGTTAGACTTTACAAAGATAGAAAAAACATAATTTACAACTACCATAACCTTATTAAACATAAAAATAACAAAATACATATTTTAAAAATACGGGATATCTTTTAAAATATCCCAAGCATGCCCATATGCAAAATCAACCCCGTTATTTTTGTGTCTGTATTGCACCCTTGCCAGCTGTAAAATTACTTGTTCATCTTCATCCATCAATTCGTTGCCGAGCTTTTGACAAATTTTGATAAAATTCTTCACCGTTGACCATATGTCTAAAAACTTAGCCTTCACCTCTTCTTCAGTTCGATATTGTGGAACATCTAACTCAAAGCGAAACAAATTATTCAAGCGTGCCCATCGCGATCCGTACATTATATGTGGCAGCATGAGAAAAACCAAATTATCCTCAATTATTACCCAAGACCGAACGAGCGTGATCTCTTCCTATATAGTCCACGACTGGGGTTGATTTACTGCCATTCCGGACTTCTAAAGGTTTACAATTCCGAAGTTCTATAGGTTTCACACTTCCGGTCTCATATTTATAGTGGTTCATGTTGCATTCAACTTACATTTTGGACTGACATTCCGGAAGTCATATCAATCATTCATGTATAGGAAAATCAATCATAAATGTCATAGATTCCTGAAAAATATGAGTCACGGACGCATATTCCGGACACACATTATGAACATTACATTCTGGAGACAAACTTCGTACATCGCATTTCGGACAATTATTTCGAACATGGCATTTCCGACTATTAATATGTATCGTTATTAATATGCATTTTCGACATAGCATTTGTAACATCCAAATTTTCAAACAAAATTTTTCATTTTAAACTTCACATAAAAACATTGTTCATAAAAAAACAATACCAAGAAAATCAGAAGTGTCAAATACAAATCATCATCGAAATATCAAAGTGTCCCAAAACATCTGGAATCATAAACTACAGGCGGATGTGTACAATCAAGCATTTTCCTTTCCGCGATCATCAGAATTACCTGAAACACATGTAATCAACAACTGTAAGCACAAATCTTAGTGAGTTCACCAAAATACCAAATACAACACGACACAAAATAAACAATTATAGGTTATCAGCAACCCTGGAGACTACCCGAAGTCTCGGTGGACAAACAGCATGTCGTGTGGGTTATTAGCAACCCTCCTGGAGACTACCCACAGTCTCAGCACATATAATAACATATATCACAGTAATAGCACTTAGAACCAGCTGGTCAACACAAATATTCTACCATACAGGTAAGAATAGTGAGGAGACTCACCTTGCACAGATGACTGAAAGAACTCACACCCGAACTGCCAGAACTAGACTCCGCCTAATAACTACACCAAATAACCCTAATTAACAATTAAGGAAAATTTCCATACTCAACTAGTCCCAAGCCAATTCTAATCCACAATTTGGGCAAAAGACCATTTTTCCCCTTTTAAGACCCAAAACCCCTCACAACTTGACCCAAAGGCACAAATGGTAAAAAACTCAAAGAAGGTCAAAAATCAACACTTTGACCTTATGCGCGGCGTACTTAGCTCTACGCTGGGCATAGAGCGCAAAGCCGGAAAAGCGGGTTCGCGACTCGGTCTTAACTCAGAATCCAACTTTTAAGGTCTTAATCATTAAGACAATTTACCCCAAACTCAGATCTGACTCTAAAAGATATCCTAAACCATAAAGTCTCTTCCTTTACGCCTTTTCATGGCTAAAGAGAGCTTAATCCCAAAACCATAACTTTTAACATCACCAAAAAATCCATAACTCATGCATGACTGAAAGGAAAGGGCCAAGCTTGCATTTTTATGACACTAATGAGTTCATCTTAATTTGGTGTTTGGCATTGTGAAGAAGAAGATTGCTATGTTTGTTTATATATTAACCCGTTTACGGAAGACCCATATTTCCCACTACCGGATAAAATGTATGATGACATTTTCCAAGCTATGAATGTCGTTGAACAACCAAACGAAATGGATTATGAAAGAAGTCGGACACTAAATCAACGTGTAGATGATCTAGCAGAACAAGTAAACGAAAAAGAAAAATGGGTTGTTGAATCTATGAAAAAGGTCAAAGAAGCTAAGAAGTGGATTCAACATGCAAATGCAGAGATTGATAATCTACGTGCAAAACAGGACCGTCTAACATATGTTGTTAGAATTAGAAGAGATTTTACTGATCGAGTACAAAATATGTATCCCTTACAATTTCCTAAATTGTGGAAACCGATATAAGTATGTATTAGGATTTGTAACGATCTTTGTACTATTGTTAATGAAAAATATTGTCATTTTAGATAACCTACCGTTTCATTTACATATTTAAGTCAAAAGTCATTACAATATTAAATTTTTATATTACATTTTCGGGATAAGCGGGAACTTGCACCCGGTGCAAACTAGATGTGTCTACATGATTTTCAAACAAATTCCATGTAGGTCTCAATTAAGTCGAACCCATTATACATCATTTCAACTCGATCTTACTTGCCGTACGTGTTTCTTCGATGATGTCCATTGTGTTCACAAATTATCGTATATCTTTAGACATGGTAATGAGGAGCATTTGCATGTTATACAATGTTATTTTTCTCTGCTCTTAGCAACTGAAGGCGATAATGAGATTTTCAGTATTACCATTCGTTGTTTCGCACGTTGATAATCACGAATAATTTCTAATGCAGACGTGTCAATAAGACGTCGTTGCTCGTCTTCAAGACGTACTATATCATCTGTTATTGTCAACTCATCCTCATCGATCGAGTCACTGAATGTTAGAGACTGAAAATAAAATTTAGTACCATACACATTAAAAACCTTCTTGCATAAACGTATGTAATAATAATAAAACCAAATTGCTGAAACATATCCATAAAAAATTAATATTTGCAATTATTCTATCATAACAGGTTTGTCTGCACTTGCTTCGGTCTCATTTTACGGAGTTCTATATGCTTTCAATTTAAATTTTAACACTATTTCTTATTTCTTTCTTAATTTTATGTGTCTTTGCTGGTTTATTTTTTATTTTATTTTCTAACTCAACATCTTCATTTTTTATCTGCAAAAAACAAAATTCCAAGAACATTTTAATACATTTCTGTAAAAATAAAAACAAAAAATTATTATAATATTTTGTTTTTCGATTTTATCTTTATCGGACGCAATTCTGAAAGCTCCTGTAAATGGAATACAACTTCTTCGTCCGTAAAACCCACTTTTTTTATAACGCCCATGCGGAATCGTTTTTGGACTAACAGGGGCTATTAAACATCATCAGGAAAAAAAAATTATAATCAGTAGTTATTGTGGATTGTCATTCCGTACATCATTCTGTAATAGATTTTCGGGTCCCGGACTACGTTCTTTGTGTTCCGGACTTACAATAACATTCCGAATTGCCTATAAAAACTACTTCCGGTCGAGAAAACGATCATAACCACTCTCCAAGATACTTAGAGCACCCACATCGGTGGTGCTTGCAAATCAATTGCAAATGACACATATGTACAATGTTTGGTGGAAAAGTAAATATACTAATTATAAAACTAATATATGTCAAGTGAATGAAAAGTTAATATATTGATTAAAAATAATCCCCACCTCTATTCCCCTCACATCACCCATGTAGGTTGATTAAAAAAATTAATAAAATACATTTGCAAGGCTTACGCAGGTTGAAAGACTAAATCCTATGTGGCATGAAATATTGCTTGGTGGCATTGCAAAAAAATGTTGAAAGAAAATGTGGAAGGTCTTACATGAAATTTATACACGCACAACGATAAGAAAACATAAAAAAGGGAAATTTTGGATTAGATCATCGTATTCCAGACTTATTCATCGTATTTTGGATTACTCTGAAATACTTAAAGTTGTTTGTAAAATCAAATGTAAGCAACTTAAAAAGTAGAATTCACTTGGTTTGACGATTCTCATACTGAAAATTAGGTCTGAAATGTAGATAGACTGATCCTCAGAACTTTACAATTCTGAATGCGTTTTTCAGATTTTTCTGTGTGGGACCCATATATATACCATTGGGCTACATTATTGGGCTTGGATCGGGTTTTTGTGTCCAGAATGGCCCATTCCAGACCAAGTGATTACTTTTCAAAAGAAAATAAAAAATGGTTACTTTTGTTAACTACAACTCTATTTGTGGTTAGATTGCTGAATTTCCCATTATATAATGTAATTTAGTTTTGCTACTAAGATAAGTGATATAGTTTGTGTTTAACCAAACATAATATTTACAATTTTTTTACTAATAAGAAGAACAAAAAGCTGTATAAGCATCAACCATTTATATAAATACTAAAACAAAGCAACAATTATACAATAAAAGTTTGATCAAAACATGAGTCGAAGAAAGCAAATCAAATCCACAGAAAGGAAAATTTCACAACCAGTTTCCCAACCCAAAATGAAGCAAAAAATGGTTAAAAACCAAATATTTATATGATAAATAAATGTTGTGGAGGCATTAACTAAGTAGACCATCGGTCTTGAGCTTGGTCTCGGTTGCATCATTAGCATAAGCGGCCTCATGCACCCCAAGAGCGGCTCGACCAGACGGGTCAAGATTTTTGGACCATGACGCGTCCCACTCCACCGCTTTAGCCGTACTGCATGCCACACTTGGACCACCTGGAACCGTTAATCTTGCTGCGTTCTGTTTCAAATCACAAATGGGAAAAAAAAAAATTATTTTTCCCATGAACTGAATAATATCATAACACTTGGACCATCTTTCTTTACAGGTTCAGGGTTCGGGTTATACAAGTCATAGAATACCAAAAGCATAAATAGGAAAGAAAAAGCCACCTTTGGGAAGAACTTTTCAAAGATTGTCCGATAGTAGTACCCTTCTTTTGTCGTAGGGGTGTTTTCGGGATAAACAAAAGTTGCATTTGTTAGCATTGAATCAGTAACCTGCAAAAATAATTGTCTTAGGGTATTACTATTTTTTTTTCCATCAAGATAAAATGTTGAATGGGTATTTAAATGATGAATGTCTGGTTGTATGAACAAATACTTTCTTTCTTGACATCATGTATAGATAAACCATTGGAACAAGAGTAAATAAATTGACTATTTTACCCTTTTTGTCTTAGAAGCAATGCTGAATAAACAACAAATGACTGACCTGTTGGTTTGCATGATCCTTCAAACCATCAATCCAACTGTATCCAACTCCATCACTGAATTGTTCCTTTTGTCTGTACAGTATGTGCTGGAGAATAGACAAGACACTCTTATATTTTGTATATCTTTTTAAAAATTCAAATGAAATAATTGGACACTTAAACATTTATGACACTTCTTTTTCTGTATATGGTGTTTGAATATAAAACTAAGTGTAAATTACATTACTGGTCCCTGGGTTTGTTCAAAATTTTCAGTTTTGGTCTCAGATAGTTTCCTCTTGCAATTCGATGCACCCTATTTCCATTGTTGTAATGATTTTGATTCATATAGGCACCAAAATTGCAAGATAAAATTATTGAAAACACAATTTTTGAACAAACTAAGGGACCAAAATCATTAAAACAATTGGAAATAGGGACCAAAAATGTAATTCACTCTAAAATAGATGAAACAACATACCTTTGGCAGATAAGGGTTTTCGGCATCATCAAATGCATTGCGCAAGACCCACTTCTCAATCCTCCCAATATCACGTTGAATCTATAATACAATTACAACAAATTAAATCTTGGAAAATTAATTGTATAATTATTTATTCAATGTTGTGTTTGATTGGATGGAATGGAATGAGTCATTATACATTCCATGATCATATTTGGTTGGCATGTAGGAATTTGTTTTATATTTTGTAAATACAACCCATGCTAAATAATATTTTGAATATAACTATAGAATTTATCGTTTATTAAATTGAAGAATTAAACATAACAAAGCTTATTAAAACAAAATTAGGTTTATACTACAAAAAAGTTTCTAGTTATTCAAAAAAAAAAATAGTTTAACTAAAATCATGGAACTTTTACAAATGATATGTCCTTGAAAATTTTATAGATAAAAATGGGCTATGTTACAAATTTCCAATCAATTCCATGATGAAACGAAAAACTAACTCCCCCAGCTTAAGGAATGAAAATTAACAAAATTCAAGGACTTATGAAGATCGTTGTATGATAAATTATGAATTACAAGATTATTTTGGTATCTAAGAGTAAGAGCATATATTATAATTTTTATGAATGAAAGTTAAAGTTAGTTTACCATCTTCCACTTAGGGTCAATGCTCATTGCAACATCAATGAATTCCTTATCTAGAAAAGGTACACGAGCTTCAAGACCCCATGCTGAAGTTGATTTGTTTGCCCTCAAGCAATCAAACAAATGAAGAGCCTTTATCTATATCAATAAAGCATAAAGCATGAATCATAATCAAAAGATAATCATAATAACGATAAGGGTTAAATGCAAGAAATAACTTTGTTTATTAAGCATTCTACTTTCATCTCTTCTTATTATGACATTGTACTTTAAAAAATATTACTGAAATACAAAGCAATTCTCATTGCTATAATGATAATTGATTAAATTTTTTGAAATATAATGTCACTATAACAAAAGAACTGAAAATGCAATGTTATAACTGGTTAGATTTTTCGGGGTATAATGCCATATTTAGAAGAAAAAAAATGAAGGTACAATGTTGTAATAGAAAGAAACGAAAGTAAGATGCTATAAAAAAAATGAAAGTGTGTTGTTATTTCTTGCATTTAGCCCTAATAATAATAATAATAATAATAATAATAATAATAATAATAATAATAATAAAGTAATAATAATATTAGAACCTTTCGGCAAGTTTCCTCATGGAACTCCTCCTTGTTAGGTGCCTTGTGGAAATACAAGTAGCCACCGAAGATTTCATCAGAGCCTTCTCCAGAAAGAACCATTTTTACTCCCAAAGACTTGATTTTTCTGGACATGAGAAACATGGGTGTGCTGGCTCTAATAGTCGTCACATCATACGTTTCAATATGGTAAATCACCTCTTCCAGTGCATCAATTCCTTCCTGATAAAAAACTTAACCTTAACCACATCACTATCCCACTTTCAATTCATTTCTTATTAAGGCATTGCATTTTGAAAAATCCACCTAGCATTGTACTTTTAGTATTTTTTTTCTTTTTATCAAAACATTATTATACTTTGAAAAATCTAAACAGTGAAAATTGCTTTAGTTAGGTGAACTATTTAAAGTATTAACGTTGTAATGGAAAGAATTGAATGTAAGATACAATAACAAACAAATCAATAAAAGTACGTTGCTTGTATTATTGCATCCTACTTCCACTTTTTTCTATAACATCACTCTTTTTTCTTATTAAGGCAGTGTAATTTGAAGTATTATTGTAATTTGTTATTTTTTTTCCACTTTGCAGGATATCATACTTTAAGCCCTACCCAGTTATACCTGTCAAAATTGATTTGTATTTCAACGACATTGCTACCACTGGGTAGACTTTTAGGTATAATGTTGTACTTGTAATAGGAAGAACTGAAAACACGATGCTATAATAAACAAATCAAAAAAGTGAGTTGCTGTTTCCTTCATGTATTATTATATTTATAGTATCCTACTTCCAGTTTTTTTTTCCATTACATCATACGTTGCTTGTTAAGGTATTGCATCTTGGAAAATCTACCCTGAACTTTCTAGTTTTGTTATTATTAGGAGATTATACTTTGTCTTTCAGTAATATTTTTTACTATAACTAGGTGGATTATTCAAGTATAAAACTGTAATAGAAAGACATGAAATTAGGATGTACTAATAAACAGATCCTGGAAAAGAATTACCTGAACAGTAAAGTAAAACTCATGGTGGCGAGTGCCAAGATAATCAGCTACCTCTCTGGCAGCACTCAAATCAGGAGAACCCTAAAAAAAAATTAAACCACAAATTTAGTAACAAACATTTCCAAAATAAATAAAAGGCAAATTAAATAAACTAATACATTAGATTATATAAAACCTAAAAACTAGGTTTCTTTATAACCAAATTAGGAAAAAAAAATTATATATAATAATCAGATCAAGTTATATAAAACCTAAAAGGTTGACCCTTGACGTAGTATCTGTTGATAATTAATCAAATTAGGTTTACTTAAAATAATAATAAAAAAATAAGTGGATAATAAATGACATGAAAGAATCAAGAATGTTAATTGACCTTCAATCCAATGCAAAAAGTATGCAACTGTGATCCCCACTGCCAGGAAGCTTCTGAGTTAGCCAGATGGCGTGAAGCAACAGCAGCAACAAGAGATGAATCAAGACCTCCAGAAAGAAGTACACCAAAGGGCACATCCGTCATTAGCCTCTTAACTACAGCCTGTAAATAGCTCATATTAAAAAATTTACTCAAATAAAAAGTAATTCACTAATTCTACAAGTAACAAACCTTTTCAAAGGCATGACGTAGGAGCAGGGGATCATATGGAGTTGAAGGAATGCGTTCTGAATACCATGTGGGGTTATACCACCTTCTCAGCCCACCTGTTACATAAAAGTATATATAAATATATTAATACAAAAGATTAAACCTTGTAAACTTAGGAATTATGGCTATAAAAATGTAATTATAGATGCTTGATTAAAGGATGAATAATGCATACCAACTTTGCTAGAATATATATGGCCAGGAAGAAATGACATAAACTGTTCGCAGTCATCACTCAAAGCTTTCATTTCTGAAGCAAACCACACGGAACCTGCAGATGAAGTCAAAAGTTTATAAGACACTCAAAAATAGTTTCTTTATGAATAATTAAAAAAAAAATAACAAATATGAAATATTAAGTATTAAGATTTATAGATACCATCAAGGCCCCAGCCCATGTAGAGTGGGGTGATCCCAATAGCATCCCTAGCTGCTATGTAACTTTTATCGCGAGTGTCCAGAAGCACAAAAGAGAACATTCCATCCAGCATGTGCACAAAGTCTTCTCCATATTCCTCATACTAGTAGTAAATACATAACTCAAGTTACCACAAAATATTCCAAACAGTTCAAAATTCATATGCCATTTGATTTTATATCATTCTTTACTTGACATGTTATCTGATTTGTTGTACGTATTCCTGTTAAAGTTATAAAAGGTAAAGTACTTACAAGATGGGCAATCACTTCACAGTCACTTCCAGTGTTGAACTTGTGAGACGTCAGTTTCTCCCTTAAAGCTTTATGGTTGTATATCTCCCCATTAACCTTAAAAAAACAAAAAAGTCAACGTTTTGGCTAGCTTCATTATACAAGAATTACAAAAAAAGAGATTCATTGGTTGACAAAATATGCATTGACTTTTGTTGCTACTATTTTGACTTTTGGTCTGGTTTATTAGTTTATTTGTATTTAATTTCCAACATGTCTTGATGACAAAAAGTATTCCAGTTACCGTGACAATAATCGTCTTGTCTTCATTGTAAAGTGGTTGATCTCCAGAAGCAGGATCAACAATTGCTAACCGTTGATGAGCAAGATAACAGTCTTGCTCACTGTGGAGCCCACTCCAGTCTGGACCTCTATGGCGCAATCTGACACAATGAACAAAAACAAAAACATAAAGAGGGGAATCAATAATTGACAACTTATCTAATGTGTTTTAATAATTTTACAAAATCATACATAGCCAAGAGTCATTTTGGCTCTTTTAGAAGAAAAGCATGTAGGTTATTAATTACAAAATCTCTTGTTGATTAAATTCAAACACCAAAAACTACACCCATAGTTCAGTATGCATACTTCTTACAGGAACAAATATGCATATTTAAGTGCTTTTGAGAGTGTTGTTCTTCGGTGGAATGGTGGGTTTGACCTTAACTCTAGATTGGGATATGAAAATGAGGATTCAAAAGATGTGATTTTGGTCAATCATATGTTTGATATTTACTGTGTTACAAAGCATTATATGGAGCAAGGAGGCAGTCAAGTGACCTTTTATTGTTTAATCATCAAAGTAGAGATTAATATGGGATTAAAAGATGATTAAGCAAACGCGTATGAAGCTCAGTTAGATATACAAAGATATAAATGTTTATAGATTACATGAACATAAGACTAAAGTTAGATGCAATTACTTTTAAAAAATTATAATATCATCTCCATGGATATAGGAGAACAGTGGTACCAATCCAATAACTGGGCCTAAGATTAAGACGATATTAATTCTGGACTTCTGGTCACCCACCAACTACATCATCCCTTAGCTTCCATTTTTCCAATTTTTTTGGATAACATTAATACCATAAAATCTGAGGCCCCAAGTGTTGCAGTTTACACGAAATTTATCCTGTTCTTCATCACATAGTGATATATAGTTCTCATCATCTCACAAAAACAAAAAATTCAACATAAATTCGTCGTAAATGAGGCAAATGCCAACAAACAAAATCCAGAAATATGAAAAAGATAATATACAATTGCCGGATTTGATTAATGATGGACAATAGTAGCCGGTTACATCAACCGAAAAGAATAAATAACTAAAAATGGTGATAAAGATGACATTACCGTCTAGAAAGTTCAATGATTCTGGCCCTCTTAGCCTGAGAGCAATCCACACAACCAAATACCGCGAGTATTCCACACATGGCGTCTCGAAGCTTCTGAAATCAATCAAAAATGGCTTTAGAATCTACACAGAGATTAGGTATTTCACAAGGGCATGCAGAGGAGAATCGTGGAGACAGTGAGTGGAGAAATGGAGGCCTGGCTGCGCTGAATATGTAAAACCGATTCGATTAATCAGGGCCGTTGGTTTTACTCCAGCTCGGACTTCAGAATAGATTCCTCCTTCCAATTTCTTACCAATATTTTTATTTCAATTTTCTAGTTGTTCGGGTCTTACGTTCGGTTTGATAGTTTCTGTCTAGGAAAGTGTTGTCCGGTAAAGTGCTGTTTTGGAAAGTTTTCTGACTGGGAAAGAAATCATGCTGTTTGATTATACATCTGATTGACTGTTCTGAATGATAAAAAAAGTAATAATTCAATAAAAAATAAATTAAAAAAAAGTTATTTAAAAAAAATTAATAATCCAAGAAACAAAGAAAGAGGCAGGGTTTGGTGCATAATTGTCTTTCCAGCCCATTCAGCCAGAAAGATATGATTTTGGGGCTTTCTGGGAAAGACATATTTACCGGGAAAGACCCCTTTTTTGTGCAAATCAAACAGTCTTTCCGGTCCATTCAGCCAAAAAGATCTGTTTGGACCTGGAAAGATGCGTATCAAACGGGGCCTTAGTGTTTTACCCAACAACCAAACCCATCCGACACTTACCCTCTTTTGATAGAAAGGACCACTTTTGAAATGGTTTGGCATTAGAATGGTTACGAATTTTTTTTTCCAGAAATAAATTATATATTTTTTTTATATTTTCTCTTCCTACTGATCGTTCTACCTTTTAATAAATTAATAACATTTAAATACATTTGTCATCATTTAATATGGATAAAAGTATAGATATGAGAAAAAATATAGGAGGATATTTAATTTCTCTTTTTCGCATTAGTCTTATTTTGATAGGGAAAATGATTCTGGAGGGTAACTAACTGTTGAGTTTATTCTTATTTGGTCCATTTTTTTTTTACCTAATATACCATCGAACTTGTTGTTTGGGTTCACCATAACCCTTTTGACCGGTTTTTGACCGGCTATCACCTGTGATAGTCGGTCAAAGGGTTATAGTGAACACAAAGAGCAAGTTTGATGGTATATTGGGTACAAAAAAAAATATACCAAACGAGAACAAACTCTACTCATTTATAGAAAATCTCACGTCATCCCATGCTCATATTAATGACTTTATGAGATTTATTATTGCTTCTCTTCAAAACATAACCTACGAAAGAACATTATTCATACATGTACAACTTTGTAATGCACTTGAAAATTTATTAGGGGAATCTTGATTGAGCAGGTGCATTTCATGACTACATTTACATTTCCAATCAAACGATTTATCATATCATGGATTCTGGACAAGTCTACAAACGAGTGGAATCACAAGTGCTGTGATTTTTTAGTTTACTTTGCATTAAGATCGAATTCATGGGATAAGATACAACATCAATATGTACAATATCATGAAGCTTTTGCAGACACATCATCATAATATACCTTGAGGTAAACGTTTATGCTGATAAAGATACCTCTCATACAAAGTTATATCCTTTTGCGGAGACTTGTTGACAGCTAACCACAGTAAGAATAGCATAGACCATGTTTTGACGAAGCTACCCCTCTGAAATGCTCTTCATGTACGTTATGGCCTAAGACTGTTGCAGTCTTTGATACTTTTGCAGCTTTAATTTCATTTAACTTTTTGGGGAAAATGACTCAGGAGGGTAACCAACTGTTGAGTTTGTTCTCATTTGGTCACTTTCCTTTTTTATACTCAATATACCATCAAACTTGTTGTTTGTGTTCACCATAACCCTTTGACCGGCTATCACAGGTGATAGTCGGTCAAAAGGGTTATGGTGAACACAAACAACAAGTTCGATGGTATATTGGGTACAAAAAAAAAGGAAAATGACCAAATGAGAACAAACTCAACAATTAGTTACCCTCTAGATTCATTTTCCCTATTTTGATACGGTATTTGCATATATGTCTTTTTCAATCCAATTTTGGGTTTATCGGTTCCCTTTCATTTTTTTGGTTCTAATTGTGTTTTTCTATTAACAAATGTGTGGTTAACACCAAAATGATATATTAAAAATTAATATAAAAAAAAGTTAGGTAATGTGTGATTAGCACAAAAATGTTATGATTTAAACTTTGCATTTTAGTCATTTCTAAGATCGATCTCGGAACGGTCAGATTTCTTTTGGGACTAGACTCGGAACAAACCTTCTTTTTTATACCACTCTCTACCGATTCAATCCAGTCTTTTTCGGGCATATACGTTTTTGGTTTGGTCTCGTTCTAGACCAGTTCGATCTCGGTCTTTTTTGAGACCAGTCTTTTTAACTTTTTGTTTGTGTCTACTTGCAGCAATGTAACATCCCAAAATTCATAGCCAAAAATTTCATTTTTAATTAAGTAAGTATAAAACCAGTAGTCTGAAACATCCATAGTCAACTCATTTCATAATCAATACCCAGTATTTCAAATAATTTAACATGTCATAGAAAAAGTATTATCAGAGTACAACTCCCAAAGATCTCATACTGCGGAAATCATAGTGTGATGCACTGCGATCCTGCCGGCTCCGTTCCTTTTGAAAAAGAAGTACTTGAAACCAAAACTGTAAATCGTAAGCACGAAGCTTAGTGAGTTCCCCCATCATACCACACACCATATAAATAACATACTGTCAGACATATTTGGGTGCCCGACCTACCCCTTCGGTCTCTTTCAACCGGTAACCGCCTAGCATATCTGGGTGTTGGCCTACCCCTTCGGTCTCTTTCAACCGGTAACCGCCTAGCATATTTGGGTGTTGTCCTACCCCTTCGGTATCTTTCAACCGGTAACCGCCTAGCATATCTGGGTGTTGGCATACCCCTTCGGTCACTTTCAACCGGTAATCGGGGACTATTTCACCCCCTACCACTACCACATAATATCCTAGCATATACACAAAATCACATATTGCCTAGCATATATGGGTGTTGTCCTACCCCTTCGGTCCTTTCGACCTGTAACCGAGGACTATTTCACCCCTACCACTACCGCATAATAACATAGCATACTAGCATATAAAGCATAACAGATAGTGACATACCAGACAATTATCACAAAGACAATCATTTCAACTATAATCACCTACTAGTGGGCCAACATTGGTGCCTTAGACCCACTTCTACTGGAAGGTAACTCACCTCATGCTGCTGAACTCCACTGCAAGAAATCCTTAGTTGTTGTTGTAACACCCGGGTTTCGGGGCTAAGCATTTTTAGACGATGTAATAGTCTAGGTCAACTATTGTAACTCTTTTTGATGTAATAAAGATGAAATATTTGAATACTATGTGAATTATGTGTATTTGTGTGCTTATTAATTAATTATAAATGTATAATTAATAAAGAATAAAAATAAGCATCAAAATTAAAGTATGAGATAAGCCCGATATCTTTACATAAAGTTGTAGTGGTCGAAACAGGGATTCCGGAGATATAAAGAACGCCGAAATCCGAGTTATAACAAAGAAGTTACGACCCGTCGAAGTTTCGCGACGGAACCGGCACGGCACCGGGAAGCGTAAATAGTGAATTTACGATAGAGCGAGTATTAGCCTTAGCGATCTAAACGAAAGTCGTAGAATACGTTAAACCGAGAGCGTCCGTAAAAAGAACGCCCAAATCTGACTTTGTATGAGGAAGTTATGATTTTTCGAAGTTTCGGCTTAGCAGTGTACACCCCGAAGTTCGAATATTAGATCGAGTGGTTTTTAGCCGACACAACCTAAACGAGAATCGAATATCTCATTAATAGTAGCGTATCGATAAAAAGACAGACGAAAACGGACGTCGGATGAAGAAGTTATGAATTTTTAACGGACCAATCCTGTCCCGGCCTGTTAAAAATATAACTTTTAAAATAAATTCAAAATTAGCCGACGGAGTCTAAACGAAAGTTGTAGAGTACGTTCCCGCCTACGCGTGGATATAAAGAACATCGAAAGCGGAGCTCGTATGTGAAAGTTACGAATTTTTAAAGTCGAGAGTGCAATTTACGAAATCTGATGCAAGACGCGATGACGTGGCTCAATCCCAGCCTTCCCTTGCTCCACACGGTCTCGCATCCGATGAACACCACGTCGCCTCGCTTCGCCCTACGCCCCGCGTCCAAGGCTGGTACGCCCAGCGTACCTTCGGACCTGATCCTCTTGCGAGTGCGAGCCAGCTGTGCGAAGCTGGCACCCTTATCCGAAGTTACCCCCCACGTAACTTGTTGAACGCCCCGCGTAGATCCGAACTTCGGCCCCTATAAATACCATGCAAATTCTCCCGGATTTTTCACACATTTTCACAACTCTTTCTCTCTCTACTTTCTCTCACCACCCCTTTAACCCCTAAAACCCTAGGAAAAATCCCTAGCACCCAAAGGAAGCCCCGAGGCTCCCGGAGTCCCGAGAAAAAAGGGTCTTTCGGTTCGGAAACGCTGCTCCGAGCAAAGCCCGGTTTTCTTTAAAATCCGCTGTAAGTGAGCTACGCCTACGCAATTTTTAATATAACTTTTAAATAATTATAGTAATGTTATTAGGTCCTTAAAATAATTATTTGGGCTATTATTATGAGTTATATTGAGTGTTATTTAACGCTTATATAATAATAATAATAGCTAGACTATTAATTAGTCGCGGTTAACGTTAAAACTAAACCCTAGTGGTATTAATACTAGGTTTTGGTTGAGGAAAAATTGTTTTGAGATAACGAAGTGTTGTTCAAGTGCCAAGTCACCACCTAATGAGGTGAGTGCATAGTCCCTTTCATCTTACACATAGATATATAGTATTTTATATAAATTACGTGTTGTGTGTGCATATTATCTGAATACTTGTTGTCTATGTTCGATGAACGATTTTTATACATGTTTTAAATGATTTAAACTGTATATGTATTTTATATCTACAAAAATGTTGGGGTAAAACATGGGTAGATGTAATAAGACAATGTGTGATAAAATGATGAGAGGCCTCGATGTTGTTGGTGATCCAGTCATCTAACGGAGTATAGATGACGACCACAGACTCTTCTAGACAGTCCAGTGGAACGCTAGCAGGCTCGCAACCTGTAGGTGTTTGTGAACGATGTGTTCACCGGTGTACTCCATCCCCCTCATGGTTGCCTTTAGGACATTTATTGCTGAGGAACCCCCTTAGCAGTGGTGTCCATCCTGATGATGACCCTTAGTCTAGGTCCCTTATGATAGGTGTTTAGGGATGTAATGTGATGATAACGGGAACGGGTAATCGGTTTATTGTTGGTTGATGAATTTAATAAATATATTTATTGTGGGTTGAAAACCCTATGTGCTCACCAGGCTCCCAAGCCTGACCCACTCAGTTTCATGTATTACAGGTAGTGGCGTTCGAGCATAGATGTGATGTTTTGGATGAGGGATTACGGATATAGTCCTGTAGATATGAAATAATGTAGTAAGGCTTATATTGTACTGTTTATGCTTTTGATCTGTATCGAACATGACATCCCGAGTCTTTTTAATGAAATACATTTCTACGGAAATGCTTTGATAAATCTTTATCTTATTTTGTTTTGGGACAAATTCCGCAACACTTTTATTTAAAATGTTACTCTGATTTTCAAACAAGCATAAACAAAAATCGGTCTTTTCTGGCCGTGAAAATGGGGATGTCACAGCTGGTATCAGAGCATTAGTTTAAGCGAACTAGGAATTTGTAGGATTTCTAGACTTAAACTTAGAATGCTAAGCGATGATTGTGAGATGTGAGCACTAGCTTATTTTAGGAATTATGCCTAAAATGCTTTTATGTGCTAAATGCTTTGAGCCTGATATGCTGTTATTTCTTCGGATCTATGGTCTGTTGCCGACCAGATCTGGAAACCTTATGTGTTTAGGATTCTAAACGTACGACTACGATATTAGAACTAACATGTAAACGTTTCGGAGAGATAAGGATGATTTAAATGTCTATCCTGAATAAAGATCTAAATTCACCTTATTCGGTGTATATATCAAGATGGCAAGAACCCGCAGTGGAGCTGGGAATGCGAATGGGAATAAGAATCAACCCCCAGTGATTCAGCAAATACCTGTTGTAGTAGAAGTTGCACCCGAGCCAATCACCATGGCTGGAGTACAAGCCATGATTCGGGCGATGTTAGCAGAACAAAGGGAAGAAATGAGGCAGATGTTGAATAGGGATGAACCTACCATGCCCGTTGAGCAACCCGAGCTGATTCCCGAGCAATCGGAGGAAGGGAACTATAGCCGCCATGTGAGTCAAGTTGGGACTCAAGGAGAACGAAGGAATGACCCGGAGAGGGGAAACGACAAGGATGGGCGGATGTATAAGAATTTCTTGGGTGCCAAGCCACCAAGTCTCTCAGGATGCCCAAAGCCTGTTGAGATTATGGACTGGATCTCCGAAATGGAGATGGTGTTAGAGAGCTGCAGCTGTAGCGAGAAGCAGAAGACCGTCTTCGTAGTAAGACAACTGAAAACTGGAGTCTTGAGCTAGTGGAAGCTATTGGCGGATACAATGCCGCGAGGAGAAGCCCTAAAGAGGTCATGGGATGAGTTCTTGGAACAACTGAAGGCGCAGTACTGTTCAGAGATAGATCTGATTGATCTGAACAATGAGTTCGAAAACCTGAAGAAGGGGAGGATGAGCGTTGACGACTACGCTACTGCGTTCACTGAGAAGATGAAGTTATTTCCATACCTAGTGCCAACCGAACACTCCAAAATTGAGAGGTTCGCAAATGGACTGCCAGCCGACTTTGGCCCAACAGTCAAGATGGCAACCACTCTGAAATCAGTTGTTCGAGCAGCTAAGAATGTGGAAACCCAGCAGAAGGAATGGGGTCTGGAGAGGGTCGAGGTTGGTGAGAAAAGGAAATTTAACGGATCCTCGAGGTCCGGTAAGAAGAGTAAATTCTCGAAGTCTGGTTCGAGAGGAGGTGAAGCCAAATGGCGAGACAAGTGCAAGAAGAAGCACCAGGGGAAATGTGACGGAGAAGTCACTTGTTTCAAATGTGGAAAGCCTGGGCACTATGCTAATGAATGCACCCTCACAAAGAAAGTCTGTTATGGGTGTGGCGAGGAAGGGCACATTTCGAGGGACTGCCCGAAGAAGAAGGAGGCGGGAAGACCCAACGTTCCACCGAAGCCGAAGGCAAGAGCCTTCCAGATGACGCTCAAGGCTGCAAAGGAGGCAGCACACGTCGCTTCAGGTACCTTTCTTGTAAATGGATTGCCTGCCAATATACTGTTTGATTCCGGAGCAAACTACTCCTTTGTATTGCATAAATTTGGTGGGAAATTAGCATTGCCTATAGAAAAACTTGATAATGCCCTAATTGTGGAAGTTGCCAGTGGCAAGTTCGTACCTATTAGTAATCGTATTAAGAACATCGTCATCGACCTAAACGGAAACGAATTCCATGAAGAGTTGCTGCCCATAGAGTTGAACGGTTTTGACGTCGTTTTGGGAATGGATTGGCTTAGCGCCAACGATGTTGAGATTCAATGCTGAAAGAAGATAGTAAGAGTAAACCCACCTAGAAAAGAGTCATTTATGGTGTACGGGGACAAACGTAGAGTGAATTCTGGAATTATCTCCTTGATGAAAGCCAGAAAATGTTTGTCCAAGGGATGTGCATCATACTTGGCATTCGTTATCGATGCTAAGAAGGAAAAGAAGGAGGTGTAGAGTATACCAGTCGTGTGTGATTATCCGAAAGTCTTTCCCGAAGATCTTCCCGGATTACTACCTGATAGACAAGTGGAGTTTCGTATAGACTTGTTACCAGGAACGACACCGATAGCAAAGGCACCATACCGATTAGCACCGACGGAGATGAAGGAGCTTATGACGCAACTTCAGGAGTTGTTGGACAACAGTTTCATTCAACCTAGTTCATCACCCTGGGGAGCTCCAGTGCTATTCGTGAAGAAGAAAGACGGAAGCATGAGAATGTGTATAGACCACCGAGAGCTGAACAAGGCAACGGTGAAGAACAAGTATCCATTGCCAAGGATTGATGACCTATTCGATCAGTTGCAAGGTTCGAGCTATTTCTCAAAGATCGATCTTAGGTCAGGATATCATCAGCTGAAAGTGAGAGAGCAGGATATCGAGAAGACTGCATTCAGAATAAGATATGGACACTACGAGTTCTTGGTTATGTCGTTTGGACTAACCAATGCTCCAGCAGCATTCATGGATTTGATGAACAGGGTTTGTAAACCATTCCTCGATAAATCTGTGATAGTGTTCATCGACGACATTCTGATCTACTCAAGAAGCCAGGAGGAGCATGGCAAGCATCTACGAGAAGTGTTGGAAGTGTTAAAGAAGGAGAAGCTTTACGCTAAGTTCTCCAAATGTGATTTTTGGATACGAGAAGTCCAATTCTTGGGTCATGTGGTTAACCAGGAGGGAATAATGGTTGACCCAGCAAAAATCGAAGCTGTAATGAAGTGGGAACGTCCAAAGAGTCCCACAGAAATTCGAAGCTTTCTAGGATTAGTCGGATATTACCGACGATTTATCCAAGGCTTTTCTTCGATAGCTGCTCCATTGACAGCGTTGACCCACAAGGGAGCTACTTATCAATGGAGTGAGAAACACGAAGAAGCATTCGAGAAGCTAAATAAGAAGTTATGTGAAGCACCGATTCTTTCTCTACCCGATGGAGTTGAAGACTTCGCAGTCTATAGTGACGCATCTGGAGTCGGGTTGGGTTGTGTTCTGACTCAAAGAGAAAAGGTGATAGCATACGCGTCTCGACAATTGAAGGAGCATGAAACGAACTACCCCACTCACGATTTGGAGTTGGCAGCGGTAGTTTTTGCTCTAAAAATATGGAGGCATTACCTCTATGACACAAAGTGCAAAATTTTCACTGATCATAAGAGTCTCCAGTATCTCTTTAATCAGAAAGAATTGAACATGAGGCAACGACGCTGGCTAGAATTACTAAGGACTACGACTGTGAGATACTTTACCACCCCGGTAAAGCAAATGTTGTTGCTGATGCTCTCAGTCGGAAAGTCAATCTTGAAAGGAAAAGGCCAAGAGCATTGAGAATTGAAGTTGTCTCGACAATTGTGGAAAGTATCAAGAAAGCTCAAGAAGAAGCTTCAGAAAAGAATGACCGAAAGGAAGAACGTTTGGGAAGGACGTTGGTATTCGGTACAAACCGTCAAGGGCTGAAGGTAATCCAAGATCGGATTTGGGTACCTAAGACGGGAGGAATAAGAGATCTTCTGATGGAAGAAGCTCACAAGACCATGTACTCAATTCATCCCGGTAGCACAAAAATGTATAGGGACCTAAAACCCTACTACTGGTGGCCGACGATGAAGCTCAATGTTGCGAAGTATGTGGCCGAGTGTGTAACATGTGCGAGAGTTAAGGCACAACATCATAAACCATACGAGAGTTTAGAACCTTTACCTGTACCCATGGGTAAACGGGAAGACATCACCATGGATTTTGTGACTAAACTGCCCAGGACAAAGAACGGTCACGACATGATTTGGGTGGCCGTGGATCGTTTCACTAAGAGTGCACACTTCATAGCAGCCAACGAAAGGTGGTCTATGGATAAGCTTGCAAATTCTTACGTGAAGAAAATTGTGAGACTTCACGGTGTTCCTCTAACGATTGTATCCGATCGTGATAGTCGTTTCACGTCGAGGTTTTGGAGGAGTCTACAAGAGGAACTGGGTACGAAGTTGTGTCTGAGTACAGCTTACCATCCGCAGACTGATGGTCGGAGCGAAAGAACGATTCAAACGCTTGAAGATATTCTGATAGCATGTACCCTTGAGTTCCAAGGTAACTGGGACGAGCACTTACCTTTGGTAGAATTTTCCTACAACAACAGTTTCCACTCGAGCATCAATATGGCACCCTATCAAGCCTTGTACAGACAGAAGTGTCGTACGCCGTCTTGTTGGCTTGAGGCTGGAGAAAAGCAGTTTATGGGCCCCGAGTTAGTCCATGAGACTGCTGAAAAGTTGAAAGTAATCAGGGAGAGGATGTTAGCAGCTCATGATCGTCAGAAGAGCTATGCTGACAAGAAAAGACCACCGATGACCTTCGAAGTTGGGGATTCGGTTGTGCTTAAGGTCTCACCGTGGAAGGGACTTATAAGATTCGGGAAACGAGGAAAGTTGAGTCCAAGGTTTATTGGACCGTTCAAAGTTTTCCAGAAGATTGGGAACCAAGCTTACAAGCTGGAATTGCCCGAAGAACTCGATGGTATTCATAACACCTTCCATGTGTGTTATTTGAGGGAGTTCACGGGAGAAGTTCCCGACATAATTCCAATCTCAGAGTTAAGGATGGATGAAAACAAGAGGCCGACTGAAGAGCCCGAGGCAATTGTTGACCGTAAGACTAAGAAGTTATGACGCAAGATGGTCGACTTAGTGCTAGTCCAGTGGAAACATTCGAATGGGCCGAATCTCACTTGGGAAACAGAGGATGACATGATGAGTCGCTATCCGCATCTGTTTGCTGACGCATGATTCCGGGACGGAATCATCCTAAGGGGGAGAGAATTGTAACGCCCGGGTTTTGGGGCTAAGCATTTTTAGACGATGTAATAGTCTAGGTCAACGATTGTAACTCTTTTTGATGTAATAAAGATGAAATATTTGAATACTATGTGAATTATGTGTATTTGTGTGCTTATTATTTAATTATAAATGTATAATTAATAAAGAATAAAAATAAGCGTCAAAATTAAAGTATGAGATAAGCCCGATATCTTTACATAAAGTTGTAGTGGTCGAAACAAGGATTTCGGAGATATAAAGAACGCCGAAATCCGAGTTATAACAAAGAAGTTATGACCCGTCGAAGTTTCGCGACGGAACCGGGACGACACCGGGAAGCGATCTAAACGAAAGTCGTAGAATACGTTAAACCGACAGCGTCCATAAAAGGAACGCCCAAATCTGACTTCGTATGAGGAAGTTATGATTTTTTGAATTTCGGCTTAGTAGTGTACAGCCCGAAGTTCGAATATTAGATCGAGCGGTTTTTAGCCGACACAACCTAAACGAGAATCGAAGATCTCGTTAATAGTAGCATATCGATAAAAAAAGACAGACGAAAACGGACGTCGGATGAAGAAGTTATGAATTTTTAACGGACCAATCCTGTCCCGGCCTGTTAAAAATATAACTTTTAAAATAAAGTCAAAATTAGCCAACAGAGTCTAAACGAAAGTTGTAGAGTACGTTCCCGCCTACGCGTGGATATAAAGAACATCAAAAACGGAGCTCGTATGTGAAAGTTACGAATTTTTAAAGTCGAGAGTGCAATTTGCGAAATCTGATGCAAGACGCGATGACGTGGCTCAATCCCAGCCTTCCCTTGCTCCCCACGGTCTCGCATCCGATGAACGCCACGTCGCCTCGCTTCGCCCTACGCCCCGCGTCCAAGGCTGGTACGCCCAGCGTACCTTCGGACCTGATCCTCTTGCGAGTGCGAGCCAGCTGTGCGAAGCTGGCACCCTTATCCGAAGTTACCCCCCGCGTAACTTGCTGAACGCCCCGCGTAGATCCGAACTTCGGCCCCTATAAATACCATGCGAATTCTCCCGGATTTTTCACACATTTTCACAACTCTTTCTCTCTCTACTTTCTCTCACTACCCCTTTAACCCCCTAAAACCCTAGGAAAAATCCCTAGCACCCAAAGGAAGCCCCGAGGCTCCCGGAGTCCCGAGAAAAAAGGGTCTTTAGGTTCAGAAACGCTGCTCCGAGCAAAGCCCGGTTTTCTTTAAAATCCGTTGTAAGTGAGCTACGCCTACGCAATTTTTTAATATAACTTTTAAATAATTATAGTAATGTTATTAGGTCCTTAAAATAATTATTTGGGCTATTATTACGAGTTATATTGAGTGTTATTTAACGCTTATATAATAATAATAATAGCTAGACTATTAATTAGTCGCGGTTAACGTTAAAACTAAACCCTAGTGGTATTAATACTAGGTTTTGGTCGAGGAAAAATTGTTTTGAGATAACGAAGTGCTGTTCAAGTGCCAAGTCACCACCTAATGAGGTGAGTGCATAGTCCCTTTCATCTTACACATAGATATGAAGTATTTTATATAAATTACGTGCTATGTGTGCATATTATCTAAATACTTGCTGTCTATGTTCGATGAACGATTTTTATACATGTTTTAAATGATTTAAACTGTATATGTATTTTATATCTACAAAAATTTTGGGGTAAAACATGGGTAGATGTAATAAGACGATGTGTGATAAAATGATGAGAGGCCTCGATGTTGTTGGTGATCCAGTCATCTAGCGGAGTATAGATGACGACCACAGACTCTTCTAGACAGTCCAGTAGAACGCTAGCAGGCTCGCAACCTTTAGGTGTTTGTGAACGATGTGTTCACCGGTGTACTCCATCCCCCTCATGATTGCCTTTAGGACATTTATTGTTGAGGAACCCCTTAGCAGTGGTGTCCATCCCGATGATGATCCGTAGTCTAGGTCCCTTATGATAGGTGTTTAGGGACGTAATGTGAGGATAACGGAAACGGGTAATCGGGTTATTGTTGGTTGATGAATTTAATAAATATATTTATTGTGGGTTGAAAACCCTATGTGCTCACCAGGCTCCCAAGCCTGACCCACTTAGTTTCATGTATTACAGGTAGTGGCGTTCGAGCATAGATGTGATGTTTTGGATGAGGGATTACGGATATAGGCCTGTAGATATGAAATAATGTAGTAAGACTTATATTGTACTGTTTATGCTTTTGATCTGTATCGAACATGGCATCCCGAGTCTTTTTAATGAAATACATTTCTACGGAAATGCTTTGATAAATCTTTATCTTATTTTGTTTTGGGACAAATTCCGCAAAACTTTTATTTAAAATGTTACTCTGATTTTCAAACAAGCATAAACAAAAATCAGTCTTTTCTGGCCGTGAAAATGGGGATGTCACAGTTGTCGTGGCAACTCTTCGAGCTATCAATACCAAAATATCACCCAATTAGCAATTGGGTTCTATACCATGATCCATAATCCATACTTGGGTAAAATGACCATTTTACCCCTGGCCCACAAGATACTTAACTAAGGCCCAAGTCCAAAACCAATCATGTCCAAAACTCCAAAATCCATAAAGGCCCACTAATGGCCCACTAATGGTCCAACTTTCCAAATTGGGCCCAAACCCTTACATGGGCCTTTCCTAAAGCCCAATAACTTATTCCTAGTCCAAAATATATGTCATTAGCTGATCCAAAAAAAATCCGTGCACTTGTAGGCCAATAAGAAAGCCCGAAACCATTGGGCCCACTAAGGCCCAATATAACCCTTGGCCCAAATAGGCATGTTCAACCCAAAGTCCAAGACTGTAACATTCTCCTGACCAGAAAGCCCAACACACAAGGCCCAAACCCAAATCTGCAGCCCAAACAAAAACAAGCCCGAAGGCCCACTGATTGACGAATGAGGGGCGTACCTCCTTGGTACGCTCATCGTACTCAATGATACAGATCGGGGCCTCAAGTCAGTACGCGGGGCGTATGTGAATCTACGCGGGGCGTACCCGCTGTTTCCTCAAGACTCATATTAGGACTTAATCTGTTAAGTCCTTTGCATCCAAAATTCCAGGGAACCTCAAATAAGGCTCTTAATGCATAAAGTCGGCACCTTTATACATTTGCATGACCCAATGACCAACTTAACCCAATAATACCCATCTAGAACATGCATGAATGGTTTGTAGCCTCAAATATTGCAACTTTATGGGCTTACAACCTCTGAAATGCTAAGAGTGGCAACCCAAAGCTTCTGGAGTGGTGTCTAACCGCTAGATCTTGCTCATGAGGCCAAAAAGGGACCAAAACCCACATATTCATAAATAACAACATCTAGTGATCAAGCTCAGAACTTTTTACCTTCTTTGAGCTGAAAATGTAGCAAGAAGTCCAGATCCACAAGTCCTTCCTTAAACCACCACCTTGTAATGAGCTCCCAGTTCTTGAAATGCACTAAAAACCACCAAAATGCACCCACAAAGCTCACAACACTATTGAATGAAGCTACCACTCAAAATTAGGGTTTAAGACTCTGAGAATGAAAGAGAGGCGCACCCCCTTGGACTTAAGGTGCTTTAAATAGTGATCCAACCCTTAAAATTAGGGTTTTGAAGATCCTGGACGTACGTTGGGCGTACTCCCTGTACGCTGGGCGTACGTCGTTCGCACCCGCGTTTCACTTATCCAGCACTACGCTGGGCGTACCCCATCTTACGTTGGGCGTACTCACTTGTTTGCCACCTTTGCACGAATAGGCTGATTTGCCAAGTATCTCCATTAGGGACCAAATGTCACACCCCAAAACCGGAACGGCGGAAACGTTCGGGGGTAGAGGACGTCATGTTTAGTATCGCAAGATATGCATTATAACAAGCAAAGTAATGAACAACCATTTCATTAGAAAGAAAGTGTTTACAATGTGTGTGTTCACAAAACATAGAATTCATAAGCAAATAACAAAACAAGACTTGAAGCTATTATGCTCCATCTTCTGAATTCCCAGCACGAGTACCTGTCTACTAGGCTCCTGAGAATACAAGTTATTTGAAAGAGTTGATCAGCAATTAAGCTAGTGAGTTAATATAATTTTAGTGATCTAAGTAAGTTGTAGAAAGTTGTTGTAAAATGTAGTTGTAAAATGTAGTAAGTTGTAAGTTCTGTTTAGAAAAGTTCGTCTGTTCCTCTAGAAAATCCTATATTTCCTACTTTAATGAAAGTTAAGTAAAATGACTCTACAATCCTTTCTATGAGTACTAAGTGGATACAAGTTATATAAGACTCTGAGTAAATAAACAATCGATTGTGCGCATCTGCCCTAAGGCGGAAAACACACATCCCATTGTTTGTTTGATCATTGTGGTATATAACCCTGGTGTATTCACTTGTTACTCATGGAGTTAATTGTAATGGTTCCTTTATATTTAATGAAAAGATTCTTTAAGAAAACCCTTATTTCTTATAATAAAATGGTGACCACAGTGATTACTTCTATAATCACTTAGTTTATACTGGCTATATATGATCTAATATTGAATAGAAAGTTAATTGGGTGAATCTGCCCTAAGCCCACAACCAAACAAGGACCAGGAAGTAAGGCGGAAAGCACACATCCAACTACCTATTGGGTATTAATGATATATAACCATGATGTATAAACTCAGGTATTATAGAGTTAATCACCTAAGCCCCTTTAAGTTTATACTGGTTTAATAAAATGGATTAAACCCTTAACTGGTAAGTTTCTAGTTTTGTATACCAAAAGTTCTGATTTGGAAAGTATGTTTTGTACTAGAACGACTCTGTGTCCTATGACCTGACCCATACATGGTA